GAGGAGAAAGAAGGTTATGGATGAAGGGGCCGCAAAAAAAATGTTTTGTGAGGCCGGAAGCCGATGTAGAGGCCAGCGCAAAAGAAATCCGCTTGTAGTGCGTCACAGAATGAATCAAGTCGTACGGCCGCTGCAGAAAGAATGCATGTGTGTGGCCGCTACAAACGGGATCAACATATAATCCGCCATCAGAGGAATGAACATGTGAGGCCGCCACAAATATTGTATACCGGAGTACCGGGGTCCAGGGCCCCGGGCCCGGACACGCTCCCAGATGTTCCCTGTTTCTCTTCGGCACTGGAAATCTGCACCCTCTCTGGGGCATTCCGGCCACCCCCCTGGGCGCTCAAAACAGCCCCGGGGTGCGGTAGACAGCGACCAGAGCGGCCCAACAGGGCCAACCACGCCCCAAGATTGCTTCACGAAGACCGAAGCGGCCGCCAAAAATTTTGAGAGCGCTCACCAACTGCGCCCTAGGAGGCCAAAATTCACCAATTCCTTTCCGGAAGCCATGTTATCTGCTGGGTGTTCTCATCGTCCACAGCAACCGAAGAGGCCCCCAAGATCGCCTCAAGACAGCCCAAGACGCCCCCAAGAGGGCCCCCAGACGGCCCAAGAGGCGTCCAAGACGGCCTTTTCGGGAGTGCTCTTGGAGGCTTCTTTGGGCGTTTCGAGGTTCCCTGGGCCGTCTAAAGGCCATGTTGGGCGTCTTGGAACAATATTTCGGCCATTCAGTGCCTTCCTGGACCGTCTGGGCGGCCTGGGGTTTTCTAGGCCCGTGTTGGGGCCTTCCTGAGCGAGGGGACCGTCCCAGAGGCCCACGTGACGCACCCCAAGAGCGCCCGGGAACGCCCAGGACCGCCCGGAAATCTTGGAGTCTGGGGCTTTCGGGAGCCTTGAGACGGGGGTCAATACAGATGGGGGTCAGCCAGGGCGCCAGATCCTGCAGGATTCTGCGAAGACCCCCTCTGGCTGACCCGGGTTAGGGAGCCGCTCGTGGCCGCGAGGCGGCCGCGCGTATTGGCTGACCCGGGTCTGCGAAGACCTGCGGTGCAGTTTTTTTTCCTGCATTGCAGTTTTTGGTTTCCTGCTGACCCGGGTCTGGATTGACCCGGGTCAGAAGATCCCCGAGGCTTCAAACCTTACCCGCTATTTCCCAGGGCTGCATGAACCTATAATAGGCTCATTCCTTTTCGTGCCAGAAGCACGGTGGCGGATATTTGTTTGTGGACCAGCACAAAAGCAATGTATGTGTGAAGCCGCCACACAAGGAATATTTGACAAGGCCGCCGCAAAAGGAAATCATGTTACAACCCGCCACGAACGAGTTCAGATGTAATGTCGGCATGATAGTACTTATGTTGTTCGTGGGCCGCCACAGAAGGAACGATTAATACTAACAAATGTGTGTGAGGTCGCCACAACATGAAATCGATGTGTGGGCCGCCATACAAGGAATGATTTCGCAACCCGCCAAAAAGAAAATTGACGTACAATCCGCCCAAGCAAGGACAGCCTGCAACGCCCCCATTAAAAAAGGATTTTGTATGTGGGCAGGCCCAAAAGGAATCAGTTTGCAAGGCCGCGACAAAACGAAATTGACGCGTAGGCCGCCACATGTGGAACTGAATCGAGGGCCACCGCACAAAGAATACATGTGCAATGCCGCCAACGTGGATCCTGTTTTTACATGACAAAATAACTTGATTTTAACTCGCACAGAGGGAATCCGGTGTATCATCCGACGGAAGAAATCTTTTTGCATTGACCAGCAGAGGCCAAGGGGAATACATCAGTCACCCCCGTCAATGGAAGTCAGTCGCAATTTGCCGCAAAGTGAACTCTGCTGCAACAGAAATCAATATGCCACAAAAGAAATCGTTGTGCAAGTCTCCATTGTACATTGGAATGCCATGATGAAAACCACATACGGCACACGCACACACACACACACGCGCACACGGCTTGTCACGGCTTGTCATAAAGAAATTCAGTAACCGAAATCACGAGTAGAGAAAAGACAAAACAATAAGGGTGTGGCACACACACACGATTTTTGTCAATTCCACGGAGGGTCAGGGAGGATTCAGAATAGTTTCAAATAACACAGCTTGTATAATGTTTTGAATAATGGGATACATTGGGTACGTTGTATCACAGCCTCCGCAAAAAAACGTTGTTGTTCAGCACGTCACCTCCAGACGTGGATTCATTGGCTGACATCGCACCGCCGACCCCTTGGAACCCTTGGATGCCTCTCGTCGGGTTGGCGTTTTCGTAGAAGCGCCTTCGAGTTCAAAAGCGGCAATGTTGGGCCGTATTGGGCCACTCTTTGGGGCTCATTGAAGCGATATCGGTGGGCTTTTAAGCTGCGTGGGACAGAATGAAGATCGACAAAGCGATGCTAGAATTTGGAAAAAGCGCATGATAATCAATGATGTTTGCCTATTGGGGGCCCTCGTGGGGCCGTGTTAGGCGCCTCGGGAGCGTCGTGGGCCGTGTCGGGGGCATCTCGGGCCGTGCTGAGGCCATTTTGGGCCGTCTTGGGTCTGTATCGGAGTCCTGTTGGTCCATCGTGGAACCATCTCGTGTTTTTTTACGCGTCCGGGAGCCGATAACGACCTTGGCACCTTCCGGCGGATCCCTCCCCCCCACCCGGGATTTTCCAGTGGATCCCCCCCCTTTCAAATTGGGGTTTGGGAAGGGGCAATTATCTCGCACGCCGAGAGAACCCCAAGGGGTTGGCGAACTTGGACCAGCTCGCTAAAAGCCCTGCATTTACTTGTTTTGCCTTTCTCCTCTTCCTCCTCCTTTTCCTCCTCCTGGTTTTGCTCCCCTTCTCTCCTGCTGAACATGTGTCCCTCCTCCTTCTCTGCCTCTGCTTCCTCCTCCTTATCCTCAGCCTGCCCTCTTCTCCCCCTCCTAACCTCAGGAGGTCTTTAGTCCTGCCCGCTCCCCCCCCCCCCCCGAAACCTCAGGGTTGGCAATAAATTCCGCGCGTCCTCCGTTTCGTCCTGTCCTTCTCTTCTACCTTCTCCATCTCCTTCTCTTCTTCCCCCGTTTCCCTGGCAGCGCTCGAACGTGTGCACTTCTTCGTCGGCGAGGACTATCGAGTAGCATCCTGGATCATCTTGCGACGGATAAACGCACGAAACCGAACAATTCACGGAAGCGGGGGAATGGACGTCGAGCGATGGCAAGTCTCCTTGTATTAATATGTAGTATTACAGCGACGACAACGGCGACGGCGACGGCAGCGACTCAAGACATTCTGAGGGGGGGTACTCAAGACCTTTGGGGGTTTCCCTCCTCCCTCCCTCCTCCCCCTGGCCCGCCTCTGGGCGACTCGGGTAAATCGCGCTAGAGGTTTTTCGACTTACAGTCGAACGTCTGATTAAAATACTCCCTGCTGAAAAAGTTGGTCCCGGGTTTCTTTGAAATATTGCCAGAAAGCTAGCCCAGTTTCTTGCACGTTCGCCTTTTCTCGGGGGCGGAAAAGAGGGGGGTGATGACTAGGGGGGGTGAATATCATGGCGGGGGCCATGATTTTTCCCCAGATTTCATGGCGCCTCTTCTCATTTCATAGCGTCCCTGGCCTCCCCGCTGGGCCGCGCACATGCCGCCGGTCATGATTTGCACCCCCCCCTCTTGGACACCCCCCTCTTGGCCGCTCCCGATTTTCCAGTCTTTATAACAGAAGTTGGCCCAAGCGAATTCCAAAGTTGTGGGAAGATAGCTCCGATGTCTAAAATGATTGGTTTCTTGCTCGTATGTTCGGTTGTATTCTCTTGAGTGTTCAACTACGGGTGCATGTTTTTGGCGATCAGATTTCACTGCCACGGGGTGAGCGCTACTGCTAGGGTGTTAGGGCTAGAAATAGGATTAGGGCGCAGGTCCCCCCACAAAGGAGGGGAGGGGGAGATAAATCATGTCCTTTCGACAAGCGGAATCTAGGTCTGAAACGACGGACTGCGAGAAAACCCCACCAGCAGCGTGCCCTCTCAGCTACCCTATCCTTCTCCTCGCCCTCGTCCTCGTCCTCGTTGGCTCCTTCTCATCCTTTACTTTTCCTCTCCCTCCTAAAACCGATCCTCTCCGCTCGTATGCCTCTCTCCCTTCCTCGCTCCATGGCGACCAGCAGTGGATCGGACGGCGTATGTGGGTCAAGCGCCGCCCCAGTGGGTGGTTCCAGCGTGAAGTGCCACCCCGAGGACCGCTGCCCTTCTCATTCTGCAACTTTCTCGATGGGTAGCACTGAGTCCTCTGAACCCTTCCGCGCTCCTTTCCTTCCTGGACCTCTCCCCTTGTTTTGTTTCTCTCTCTCTCTCTCCTTTTGTTTCTCTCTCTCTCTCTCTCTCTCTATCTCGGGGGGGGGGGAAGGACACTCCCCCGCACCCGGGGGGCAACCAGGCCCGGGCAAGGCAGCTGGCGGCGGCTCCCCAGTGCGAAACCACACCAGCCCGCGAGCGACAAGAACGCCAGAACATTAGGAGGAGGAGGAGGAGGCCACCCACATCCTTCCCTCCCAGCCCCTCCACCCTCCGTCCCGTCCTCCTCGCCTTCCCTCTGCTGCAGCCCCCTCCTCCAGCAGTTCCCTCCTTCATTGTTCCCTCCATGTCCTTTCTCTATTTTTATACCTCCTTCTCGCTTTCCGTTCTGCACATAATTCCTCCATCCCTATTTATATTTCCTCCCTCTCCCTCCGTTTCCTTTCTTCTTGTTTCGTTATCTCTCTCTCTCTCTCTCTTTCTCTCTCTCTCTCTCTTTCTCTCTCTCTCTCTGTCTCTGTCTCTATAGTTTTCTCTCTCTCTCTCTTTCGCTTTTCGTAGCCCTACAGCAAGTGGCTGGCTCGTTTCACACGCCTCCGTTCCCATTTTCTCTCTCTCTCTCTCTCTCTTTCTCTCTGTGTATATATATATATATATGTGTATGTATCGCCGCCTCGTTGTCCACTGCCCTCTTCGTTTCCCCCACGCGCTCCTCCGAGCCCCGCCGCGGAGGAGGCGCCGTTCCAGAGCCGCCGGTCGAACGCGGTCATCGACCACTTCGGCGGCGCCCCTGGAGGCCGCCAGGGTGGCCGACGGGCCGATGTCTTGCAAGCAGTGGCGAAGCGTCCCGGTTTGCCTGTAGGCCCACCAAAGGATGTTCTAAGAACCTTTTGTGGTTCGCACGAAATGTTATTCGAGCACGTCTGGCCGAGGCTGTCTTGTTGAAATACATCGGGTTCATGCTCTAAGAGCTTTATTTTTGTTTTTGGATGTTCCGTTCTTGGAACATTCCGTGGTAGGCCTATCGGAATGCAGGGACGGCCTGTCCCCGCTCAATTATTTGAGCGGATAATGGTCCGAATTGGAAGCGTGTGAGTCCTCATTGCATGGTGTGCAGTTTGCACGAGCGTTAAGAACAACTCTAGGAGAGTGCGTGGTAGGAACCACCAAGCCAAGTCCAGAGATGCTCAGGCTTCTCGTCACACGGCGCGTTTGAATCGGCCCAAGGTTTGTCTTGGCAGCCGGGCGAAGAAGATTTGTGTCGCGGGTGTTTTTCCCGCTGTGCAGTGTTGTTGCGAGGCCAGTGACATGTCGGAGGGGGAGCTGCTCAGGGTTGAGCGAATGGCGGGATCCACCGTGGAGCCCTCTGCGGGCGAACTTGTTTTGCGATCCCTGCTTAGGCTGCAGGGCGACCCGACCTGGCTCGGCACGGCCGCCCCGATTTTGCGCTATGCCCGTGAAGTGTGGCCCAGACAGGCCACTGCAACTCCGCGTGCGTTCCCTTGGGCTTTCTTGCGGGAGCACTGCCAGAAGGCATTGGGGGTCCCTCTCCTGGCTGGAGGTCCGTCAAGGGTCCTTTGGGGGCGATGCGTTTGTCTCTGGCTAGGCTTGGCTGGGTGATGGAAGACCCTTCTGGAGTCGTGGACGACCTTGGGATCCCGTATTCCGTCACCCTCGCCCTTCTTGCCTTCCTCAAGGAAGTCTTCAGGGCCTTGGCGTGCAGGCTGCTCGAGAGAGAAGCGGGGGACAAGTATGCTTCGGGTTCCAGGCTTTGCTTCGATGTCGCGTTGGAGGCTTTGAACTCCATGAAGCACTCCGCCCTGGACAAGGGCTGCATGCGCACTGTTAGTTGTCAGGAGGTACTGCGCACCATCGCCCGTGGATTTGTCGCGCGTGTGAGGAGGAGAGGAAGGAGCTGGACCTTCTGGACATGCTGGAGCATGCCAGAAGAGATGACCTAACGGAGTTTAGGATTTCCCATCTCGAGACGTGATTGTTCCCACACCCTGGCGATTGTGCCTTCGCAACACAAGTGGTACAAGTTTTTCATGTTGAAGAGGACCCCTCTCAGCAAGGCGCAGCAAGGCACATATGATGGTTTCGCCGTGCACTCGGACTCGGAGCGCGTTCTGGCAGGGGACGTGTTCCTGGATGGCTCGTGTGGGAAATCTCCCATGAAGGAGCTCTGCAGAGCGGACTGGGGCACGGCTACATTGGTGCCCGATGGTTGGCTTCGCGTTCTGTTATACAGCCTTCTGTCGTCAGGTTATCTTCAGACTAGTCAGGGGGTCGAGTTCGGTGCTCACGGTTTCACGGTCGCTTACCTCTCCTCTCAGGTTGTGATCTCTAAGTCCGATTGCGAGAGTGTTGTGAAGCTCTGGAAGCTTCCTAGGCCTGGGAGGTATTCATATAAGCGCATGCGTTGTAGGTTCCTTCTCCAGGCTGACGTCCCGTCCGACGGAATGGTCCCGGGGGCGGGCAAAGTGGCTGCCCACTTAGACCTTGATGTTCCGGTGGAGGCGGAGGACTTGAACCGCAGATAAGGGCATGATTGGGTTGGCAGAGCAGCCAGGCTTGCAGCAGCCTTGCACCCAGAAGCGTCAGAGGAGGAGCAGCGCCGCATTGACCACGTGGCAGTGACATCGAGGGTTGTCGTCAGGCTGTCGGCCAATAGTTTGCCGCTCTGGCTCCGCACGAGCCTGGAAGGAGTCCAGCGCGCGAAGAAGGCTCGAGAGGAGGGGGGGCCACCACCAGATCCGCACGAGTGGACCTGGCTGGCAGGCCGCCTGGCACCTTTCTAGCAGTCCCAGAACTGTTTCCGCGGCCCCCGTTCTTCCGCAATGCCGCCGAACGGGGGGGGGGTCCAGGCACCTCAGAATCTGCCCGCAGGCCCTGCGGGAGCTCGGACACAGCTGCATTGTGCTGGGATGTGGTGACGAGTCGGCTGCGTGCCTCGGTCGACGCTGCGGGATGTTCAAGTGTGGAGAGCGCCTCGCGAAGTTGGGTGCACCCTGCAAGCCGCTCGCTCACCCCCACAAGTACGAGAACTGGAGAAGGCTTGGCAAACGTCTCCACCCGAAGAGGGGCGGGGTCTCAGTCGAGCCGTTCTCGCTCTGCCCCATCTTACTTGGGGTCTGTGGCCGTGGTTGTCTAATGCCTCTTCATCTTATTTCTACTCCGCACGCATCATCCTCGCCCCCCATCGCCCCCACCATCAGCAATATCAGCACCATCATCATCATCATCATCATCAGCAGCAGCAGCATCACCGTTTCGCATTCCCTCCCCGTCCACCTCCTTTAGCATTCCTCCTCATGCTTCCCCTCATCCCCTGCATCCTTTTTTCACCCTCGATGTCTCCTACATATTGCCCCTCCTGTTCTTCAGTATCATCATTATCTTCATCCTCCTCCACCTCCTCATTCTCCCCATGATCCTCCCCGTCATCCTCCTCCACCTTCTCATTATCCTCCCCCTCCTCCTCCTCCTCCTCCTTCTCCTCCTCCTCCTCCTCCTCCTCCTCATCCTCCTCCTCCTCTCTTCCCCTCATCTCTCCCCGCCCTTCCTCCCCATCAGCCTCATCCTGCTTCCCCTCCGCCCTCCGCTTCCCCAGCCGCCCCGGCCAAGCGCCCGATCTAAGCACACCCGTCCAGGCCGCTCCCCAGCCGCGCAGGGCACTGCCGAGAGGACCCCCGTCCCGCGATCCTTCCGCGCCGCGCTCCGCGAGGAGGGAGGGAGGGACAGGGACAGGGACAGCTCGGGCCTCCTCCTGCTCCTCCTCCTCCTCCACCTCAACCTCCTCAACCTCCGCCTCCTCCTCCTCCTCCTCCTTCTCGTCTTCCTCCTCTTCCTCCTCCTCCTCCTTGTCACAGCGTGGCGTCCCCCTGAAAGTCGCGCACCACTCCCTCAACGAATACAGCGTGCAAGCCACGCACCACGAACTCCCAGTCGGTCCCCAGCAGTTTCGGCTCGCGCTGGGACTGGAGATCGGCGAAGCCTACAAGGAGGACGGAACTCCCCTGCTCCCGCAAGAACTTGCGCCTATTCAAGGGCCCTGGGCACTTACCGAACGGTTCCGCCCTGTTTGACTCATTCCCGGTGCGCGTCTGCCACAGGGCTTCGCTTGCATGGGTGCTTACAGGGCAGTTTTTCAAATACATCGGATTTAAACATATAGGATTTTGAAAATTACCCCAGTGCGAACCTACCTAGAAGTTGGAGCCCCTAGGAAAGCAGCAGTAGTTGCTATGCTATGGTATGCTATGCTATACCATGCTATGCTGCGCTATGCTATGCTATGCTATGCTGCGCTGTGCTATGCTATGATATGCTAAGCTATGACATGGCATGCTGTGCTATGCTATGATATGCTATGCTATGCTATGCTGCGATATGCTATGACATGCTACGATATTCTATGATATGCTATGCTATGAGTGGCTATGCTATGCTACGCTATGATATGCTAATGCAGCGCTGCGCTGCGCTGTGCTAAGCTAAGCTAAGCTAACCCTCTAGGCAGAGCCTAGGCAGAGCCGAGGTAGGGAGCCTGCTATGCTATGCTCTGCTATGCTAGGCTATGCTATCCTGCGCTGTGCTATGCTGTGCTGTGCTGAGCTGCGCTATGCTATGCTATGCTATGCTATGCTGCGCTATGCTATGCTATGCTGGGCTATGCTCTGATATGCTGTGCTGCGCTATGCTATGCTATGATGTGCTCTGCTATGCTAAAGCTCAGCGAAGTTAAGATGAAGGTAAGCTAAGCTAATATAAACCTGAGCTAAGATGAAACTAAGCTAAGCTATGATGAAATAAGCTAAGCTAAGATGAGATAACACACCGCTAAGTTAAGGAGACGTAGCTGGGGGAACCGCGGGGCGGATACTGGGGGAACCGCCCGGGGCGCTTTCCACTGCCCGGTCCCTTGAAGCCCAGAAAGTAAGAACCCTTCTAGGCAGAGCCTAGGTAGGGAAATACATGATTAATGTATGAATAAATGTATGCATGAACTCATCGTCGCTTTCAATACTGAATCCTTGCATTCTTGATACATGCATATGAGGTGGCTCCTCTGCCCCCCAATGAGAAAGCACCGTCCCCTGCGCCCGCAGTCCTAGAGCGGCCCTGGCAATGATACAAGAGCAGGCGTGGCGAGGAAGAACACTGCATCATCGCAAACTAACATCACGAACGTGCGCGCACAGAGCACGCACGACGATATCCACGGAGGGGGAGAAAGGCAACGATAACGGGAGAGAAGGAGGATAAGAAAACTAGAGATGGGAAGGGAGGGGTTTGGGTTGGAGCGCCCTCGTGCTAACGCTCGCTTAGGAGGCATCATATCAGTTGTGTGGGCGTTTAGACAGCGAGCCCTCAGAGACAAGGTACAGGCAACTGCAGCTGGCTCAAAGCCAACCTCTGTCTGGGTAAAGGTGCGAGGGAGAGAGAGAGAGAAAGCGAGAGAGAGAGAGAGTGCCAAAACATGATAAAGAGAGAGAGAGGGAACAAACAGAGAAAGAGAGAGAGAGAGATGGACAACAAAAGATGGAGAGAGAGAGAGAGAGAAGAAAGAGAGAGAGAGAGAGATACACAAGAAAGAGAGAGAGAAGGAGAGGGAAAGGGAGTGGGAGAGGGTAAGGGCGAGGGCAAGGGCGACGGGGAGGGGGGAGCGAGAGGGAGGGAGGGAGGAAAAAGCAGGGAGAGCAGGGAAGAAGAGCGGGAGGAGCGCGGAGGAAGGAGGGCGAGCGGGAGGATTGCCACGTATCGGCCGCGTCGCCATCGTCGCCCTCGCCGTCGCTCTTGCCGCTGCCGCCGCCGCCTCCCGAAGGAGGTGCTTCAGCGACCCCGCCCGCAGCCCCAGCAGCGCCCAGGCGGCGGCCGCGGCCGCGCCGTCGCCCGCGGCGGCGACCAGGTCGCCGTCAGCCGACGCGGGCGGCGGCGGCCGAGACCGCGCCGCTCGCCGGCCTGGCGGCGACAGAGGCGGGCGCAGTTAGCCAGCAGGGGATCCACTGGGTCCTTTGCAAACTGGCCCCAGCCAGGGCGCCGGATCCTGCAGGATCCAGAAAATTCGCAAACAACAATGCACAACGATAAACTGTCAGACCTCTGCGCGGATTTCTTGGATCTGCGGCTGGATCCCCTGGCGGCGCCTCTGGCGCTGCCTCTGGCGCGCTCCGCGCGCCAGGGAGGGATGCCCCGCCGCAGATCCAAGAAATCCGCGTGGAGCTCCGAAAGTGTTTGCGCAAGTGCTTGTTCCTCTCAGCCAGAGGGCCGTTGATCCTGCAGAATCCTGCAAAGCCCGATCTGGGCCGAGCGCGGTCTGGGGATCGCTCGCGGGTGGCCTTGCGTACTGTCAAGACGCTGAAATAAGGACCGCTTCGAGCTAAGTCAGGAGGGGCTCTGGTTTTCGGGCCGTTCCTTAGATCTAGGTCGAGGCTCCTATGTGTGGACGAGGCTCGCCGTGGCCAGGGCAGCCCCTTCCCTCCTCACTTGGCGTTCCCTGTGGTAGCACGTTGGCTGCACTGGCCGAGCGGGGCTTGGGGAGCCCCCGAAAAGTCGCAGTGCAGTCTTCGTCAAATTGCTGGGGCTGGGTTCCCGCTGAGCCGGGCTCGCCCACGCACGGCGCGGGTGCAGCCTCGCCCGCCCCCCGTTGCGCCCGTGAAAGAAGATCGGTGGCACGTGTCGACATCCGGGGTTGGCCTCGCCTGCGGCGCGACGCCTCGCCTCCGGCGGAGGCCAGCGGCTGGCGAGCTCGGACGACGAGGTCGGCTTCGAGGCTCGAGGTCTTCGGACGGTTCCGTCGACTCGTGTCGGGTCGGGCGAAAGGGGGGGATTGGGAAGGGGGGGTTACGAAATTTGCTGCATGCAGCTGATTTTGGCCTCACCGAGGAGCCCATTCCTCGATACATAGCCGCCTCCGGCGCCGGGAGGCGCCGGGAAAATCAGCTACGTGAGCTGATTCTCAAACCCCCCCTTTGCTATCCCCCCTTTCGCCCGACCCGATCGTGGAGGTCTCCCCAGCCCCGGGACGACTTCCAGCGGCCGCGCCTGGCCGAGAGGCGCCCAGGGGCGCCCGGCTCGTCCCGAACGGGCGCCGGAGGCCCGGGCCAGGACGCGAGAGCCACCAGGGGGGCCGCTCGGGAGGGGAGGTCTCAGAGGAGGGCGAGGCGAGGCAACTGCAGTTGGCCTTCGGGGGGGGGGCCCTCGTCGCCATGGCTCGGCGCAGCTCGGGAAACTCGTGCGTGTGGACCACGGGAGAGGTCCAGGGACAGTTTTTGAGCCGCCGCTATCTCAATTCGACCTGCTCCCAGGAAGGCCAGTGGAAGTAAGACGGCGGCGCGGATGGCCAGCGGATGGCGGCGGCAGGAAGGGTGAGACGTCAACATGTTTAGGTTCAGGCTTCTGGAGCCGGCCACGTCTACTTCTCACATCTGCATCAAGACTGGTCTCTCTTCTCAATGCCTGTTCCCACATAGGCCTCATAACCAGAAGGCCAACGCACGTTCAGAGTGGTGTCCCCCTCGCCCGCTCGCACACATCCACATCCGATCTACTTCGCACCAACGACCCATCAGCGATGTCGTAACAGTTGTTGGGAACCTCATTGGCGATACCGCCGGCCAGTTCCTGAACATACATATATATATATACATATGTGTATGTATATACACATGTATATGTATGCGCAGGTCGCGAACACTGTATGTAGTGGTCCTATCAAGGAGCTTACGTAACAACCGAGCAGCTTGCTCCCAAGAAGGAATGAGCGATGGCGACTGGCATCGTCCCTCTATGTTGAATGGACTTTCCAAGATCACCTGGAAGGCGGCCACGGCGGCTGGCCAGCGCAGGGCGTCCTGGAAGCAGCTGGGTTTATTTCCGTGCTCTGCCACATTGCCACCGCATGCAGGTCAGAGTCTTGCGATGCGCCATTTCACCGCCCCGCGACCGGACAGCACAGACTGCATCCGCTAAGCCCATCGCCATCGTGTCCTTGACACCTGGCAGCCCCGTCGGAGCTGCAGGTGGCCACTTCCTCGTGCGGGGGGTGACTGTCGTGGTCGGTGTGCTCGGCGCTCTTGCTTGGTCCGAGTACACCAGGGAGCGATGCCAGCCCCACTGGGGGCGGATGCGCCGCACCACCATCCCGTTTCAGCGCCGGGAGGAACGTGCGAATGTCCATGATGGCGATTAGCAATCACCGCGTGTCAGTACAAGGCAACGCCAAGTTCAAATTCCGATGAGCATATCCACAACGCGCCATTCGTATACAATTCCGCGGGGCTCTTGGTGCTTTCTTGGGGCACTTTGGGGGCCTCTTGGAGGTTTCTTTGGGGCCCCTGGGGGCCTCTTGGGGGCCTCCTAGGGGCCTCTTGGCGACCTCTTGGGGGCCGTCTGGCCAGTCTTGGGGACCTCTCGGGGCCGTCTTGTGGCCCTCTTGAGGTCCTTCTGGGCCCCTTGGGGTCCCTTGAGCCGTCTTGGGGGCCTGTTTGGGCCATTTGGGGCCTCGCATGGGCCGTCTTGAGGCCCTTTGGGGGGTCTCGGGGGCCGCTTTGGGGCAATCTTGGAGGCTGCTTGGGCCGTCATGGGCCCCCGAGGGTCGAAAAAGGCGAGAACGCGAAACTCCGTTTAAACCCTAGCAAAAAGCAATGTGCTTAGTTTCTAGAGGTGCTCTTGGGGGCTCCCTTGGAGCCCTCTCGGACCGTCTTTGGGACCGCTTGGGCTCTCTTGGAGCCATCTAGGGCCGCCTGGGGCCCGCTGGGCTCTCTTGGAGCCCTCTCGGACCGTCTTTGGGACCGCTTGGGCTCTCTTGGAGCCCTCTCGGACCGTCTCTTCATCGTCAGCCTTCTCGAGACCCCCTTGGACCCCCCAAGAAGCAGAAGATGACAAGATCATGGATGCGTTTTTTGTTGTGAGTGCTCGATGGACGTGGCGCGCCTCTGGCGGCCGGAAGACCTCATCCAGGCTACTGCAGCGCATTGGGGGCCGATCTTCCAGGACACCCTGCGTCGACGAGGGCGCCATCGCCCGTTATCCGGGTGGGCACATGCCTCAAACAGTGGCGAAGCGTCCAAGATTGCCTACAGTCCCACCGAAGGTTGTTCTAAGAACCTTCCGTGGTCTGCACGAAATGGCCTTCGAATAGTTATCGAATATTTCTGGTTGAGGCTGTTTCGATGTGTACACATCTGGTTTATGTTCTAAGAACACTGTTAGGGTGTGTGCTATTGGAACGCTTCTTGGTTTCAGAATATTGCATGATAAACCTAGAAGAATACTGGGACGGACGGTCCCTGCTCAAGTGCCTGCTCTCGCCGCGCCCGACATCGACGTCCATTCCATCTGATACGTGTGTCCGGTACTGCGCCTGGCCCGGATTGATCGACATAGTCGACATGGCAGGCCAACGATAGGTTTGTCGAGTGTCCTACGACATGTTGTTGCACATCTTCGCCGGCCAGCCGGTGCCACCTGGTTTGAATGATGGCGATTTGTTGATGTTGCCCAAAGGCGACGAGCCTGAACACCGCGTGGAAATACTCCGGCATCCACATTCGCAACGACCATTCTTGCTCAAGAGCAGTAACAGTAAGTAGCTAGCGGCCGCAATTGGCCTTCAGCTGAAGACCGTGGCGCTGCAGGAAGTCCACACCATCCAACAGGGTTTCATCCCGCAGCGCCAGTTCATCCAGCACATCTCACGTCTGGACGCCCAGTTTCGCATCGCATCGGTCCAGCTGGGCGCTGCCTCAGCCAAGCCATACTTCATCAGCTCCGACAAAAGGCGGCATTTCAATCGCTGGCGCGGCGGTGGCAGTGGCAAGTCCTCCGGCGTGTCTTTTTGTCCGACGGGCACATCAAAGCAATCATGGCGTTCTACGAGAACGGCTAGGTATGCAGCCGCATTGGGCACCTCCACATGCCGATGTTCTGGGCCACGCGTGTGCTTGGTACTGCGCCTGGCCCGGATCGATTGACATAGTCGGCATTGCAGGTCAACGATAGGTTTGTCGAGTGTCTACACGACATGTCGTTAAACATCCTTGCCAGCCAATTGGTGCCGCCTGGTTTGAATGATGGCGATTTGCTGATGTTGCCAAAAGCGACGAGCTTGAACACCGCGTGGTAACATTTCGCATCCACATTCGCTACGACCATCCTTGCTCAAGAGCAGCGACAGTAAGTACTTAGTGGCCGCAATTGGCCTTCAGCTGAAGACCGTGGCGCTGCAGGAAGTCCACACCATCCAACAGGGTTTCTTCCCGCAGCGCCAGCTCATCCAGCGCATTGCACGGCTGGACGCCCAGTTTCGCATGTTATCGAACCAGCTGGGCGCTGCCTCAGCCAAGCCATACTTCATCAGCTCCGACAAAAGGCGGCATTTCCGTCACTGAAGGCGCGGTGGCAGTGGCAAGTCCTCCATCGTGTCTTTTTGCCCGACGGGCACATCAAAGCCATCATGGCGATCTACGAGAATGGCTTGCTGTACAGCCGGATTTCGCACGTCCACATGCCGATGTTCTGGGCTACAGGCGGCGTCTCTTAAGGGCGCCGCTATCGTGGACCTCGTATGGGCGATGGCGATGGATTCCATTCTGAGGCACCTGCATCGTGAGATCGTCGCCGCGTGCAAGGGCGACGCCAGAGCTTGCGCAGATGACGTCGGGACCGTGTTGAGGAGATTCGTACACCTCCTGAGCGTGCGCAACTTCTTCGAGGCCATATCGGCTAGCAACACTGCTTCTGCAAACAACAAAAGCAATGTTCGTGCCACTTTGGTGCGAGGGTTCTCTGGACCTGCGTCTGGAGATTACATCGTTATTGTCACGGTTGTTTCCAGATTGGTCGACGTTGAAAGTTGCGGGTTTCGCCCGTTACTTGGGGCTCCAGGTGGGCCTTGGAGCTACAAATTTCGATCAGTGGAAAGCGATTGAGCAGAATAGATAGAGCGAGCTGACATAATCCCCTTTGCTCGCGCCTTTTTCTAAGGCCTCCCTGCGCTCCTGTTCCACCCGAGCCTTCTCTGTGCTCGCGTACTTGGCTCAGTTTGTCAGCCCTCTCCAGTCCATGCTTGATCGTGGGCGTGAATAATTGCATCGAGTCTTGCGCCCCCCCCCAATTCGCTCGATGATCCTACTCTTCACTCCTTGTGCGGTTGGGTCCGTGGACGGCGCCATAGGCCGCTTGCGCCCTTGCGGCAGGCCCAATTGTGGCGCACGGGTATTTTCACGATGCAAGAAGGGGGGCCCTGGACCGAGCAGTTGCGAACCAGCGCGGGCAATTCCCATGAAGTCGTCGCGTTCGTCCGCAGCGAGTGGTCGGGACCATTATGAAAGGAGCCACACGCCATCGTGCAGAGGCGGACGGAGGCAGTAGATCGCACTTCATGGCATAAGTTTTAGTTTCGCGTTTGCTCGCGGCACGCTTGCGATCCAACGATGCATTACGATTGTTGCTGCGCAGCGCCGAGCACGCCCCCAAAGCATGTTCATGTTCTCCCTCGTCACCTCCCTCTACCCCGACTCCATGCCAAGCCTTCTTGCGGAGGCGGTTTGAACATTGGTTTGGTGAAGTAGCTGCGCCATGTATCCATAAGCTCTGGCAGACCTGACCGAGTTCAATACGATTCTCCCCTATTTCGAAGCCTGCGTGGGTGGGCCCCAATTCAAACTATAGTTGACGGGTGGATGACCACCCAAGCAGTCAAGGCGAAGGCGCCGGCCAATTGCATGTTCGGATGCCCTCATTGTCCGGATTAGTTTCCCACCCACCTCACTTGCCCCCGCCTCCTCAGGTTCATGTCCGTCGTGCGCACCCCTCTCGCCTCCGATTCTATCATCTGCATCAGATTCGCGCCCCCGCCGTTGTATACCTGCCAATGTGAGCGTGAGCACGCCCATGCATGCTTAGTGCTGTCATTCGGTCTTTGCAACAGAATGCGGCACGCTGTTTTCCCGCACCAATCCTCCGCCCCGCCTTCTCCTCCTCCTCCTCTTCCTTCTCCTCCTCCTCCTCCTGCTCCTCCTCCTCCTCCTCCTCTTCCTCCTATTCCTCCTCCTCCGTCCTCCCTCCTCCCTTCTCCCCCCTCCCTCCTCCCTCCTCCCCCCTCCCTCCTCCCTCCGAGGAGCAGGAGAAGGAAGAGGAAGAGAAAGAGGAAGAGGAAGAGGAAGAGGAGGAGGAGCAGGAGCAGGAGCAGGAGCGAGGAAGAGGAAGAGGAAGAGGAGGGAGAGGAGGAGGAGGAGGAGGAGGAGAAGGCAATGGAGGAAGAGGAGTGGGCGGAGGAGGAGGAGGATGAGGAGGAGGAGGAGGAGCAGGGAGGAGGGGAGGAGGAGGAGCAGCAGAAGCAGTAGCAGGAGCAGGAGCAGGAGGAGCAGCGAGGAGTGGAGGAGCAGGCGTATGAGACGTCAAGCGGGCCCCGTGTTGTATCGGCCACAGCCTCCGGCCAGGCCGGCGGGACTCCGTGGGCAGCAGCGTGCGGAACGGGAGCTCGGAGAGGACCCGTCGCCACCGACGCCTCGAGGCCCGGGGCCAGGCCTCCCACACGAGCGACTGAAGAAAGAGGGCTCGATTGCGCCGACACTCGCCTGCAAAGGTTGCCCGCGCCATGCCGCACGCAAGCGCCCCCGTTGTCGATATAGCGTGCCGCGCTGGCGGCCCGCGAAAGCCACCGCGTAAGGTCGCCGTGCCATCTCGCGTACGTCCCGCTTGCTCACGTCGCTCACGTGGGGCACAGGGAAGCCCGAGGGTCGCGCAGCGTCGCCGGTGCATCGGCGGCGGCGGGAGGCACGAGAAGGAGCTCCAGATCGCGCCGCAGCGGCCCCCGCCTGCACTGGCCCACTCCTGGGAGGGGTCCAAAAGTGGGCGCAGGCGTCGAAGATCGAGGATCCAGGCTCGAGGATCTGGATACTGGTCCGCCCTTGGGATGCCTCTGGGGACTTCTCCGGGAACCCCCTCGAGACACAGGGCGTGCTTGCAGCTGTATCAGAAATGTGGGTGAGAAGGCGGGTCGGACTCGCACGCGCCAGGTCAGAACGCGTGCCAGGACAGATCTGGGAGACGGTTTCCAATGGGGGATGAGTAAGGGGAGAGATGAAGGGGAGGAGAGGGAGGATGAGGGAATGGAAGAAGAAACAGTGGGCAGGAGAAGGAAAGGGAGCAAGATTAGGAGAACGGGGTCGAGGGGAGAAGAAGGGTGTTGCGAGAGAGAACGTGGTATGGACCTCTCTGCCTGGTCCGGCTTTGGATGAGCCGCTTAATGTTGTAGCGAAGGCGGGCTATTCTGTGCCCCATGGCATCTTCTCTGATCACGTGGCCCGTATCACGCCAAAGGAAGCCCTTAAGTGAACTTCCCAGCAGTCCATCTGTACCACCAGCCCTGCCCGTGGCGCTATCGTGGACCTGGCCGGGGCCATCACGCCCCAGCCTGGATTGGAACGTGTGAAACGGGTCGCCCCGGACCAGGTTCAAGCGTTCAGACGCTCGACTCGGGAGGGTCTCCACGGCCGCGGTGTAGAAGTTGGATGTTTTACGACGTCGGCGGGGGGCGGGGAGACGCTGCAACCAGTCCAGTGAGCGCGCTGGTGCCACCATTGAGGCGTTTCTCGACCTGCTCCCCCCTCACCGTCACCCCTCCTTCATCCTCATCGTCCTCCCGATCCGTACCCCTTGGGGGCCCAAGGGCCCAAGGGGTGCAATTCGGCCACACTGATCTGGACGGCCAGGTCGAGAGATGGGCCACCGCTGGCGCTGCGCTTACGCAGCTGGCGCCGCGCTGGCGCCCCTGCACTACCGGCACCTCTCGCAGCTGAAGTGCTTCGACAGGGATTGGGACAAGCGGCATCCGCCCGATGGCGTGGCGTGCCAGGGCAACAGCCGCGTGATGATCTTGATCAGGCACGGCCAGTATGAGAACAAGGGCGGGCCCGGCTACGGCCAGCTGACGGCACTGGGCCGCGAGCAGGCCAGGCAGGCAGGGAGGCATTTGGTGGCGCGCGCCCGCGAGGACCCAAAGTTCAAGAAGGCGCTCCTGAGAATGACCAGCAGCGCCCTGGACCGCGCGGTCGAGACAGCCGACCTGATCGAAGCGGAGCTGCGGGCCGAGATCGCGTGGGTCGACGTCGAGCAGAGCTCCCTCCCTGGCAGCATGCCCGTGCGCGAAGCGGCGGTGCGCGGCGAGGGGGAGGTAGAGTACGTCGCCGAGCCAGAGGCGCCCGTGGTCGTGGAGGATCCGAAGAATTGGCTGCAGCCACGCGTCGAGGCTCGACGGACAACCAGCGGCACAGACATAACCCTTCAGAGGCCCACGCGGAGGTAGGTCTTGGGTTGGCGGCCTGCACCTCCCCCCGGCGGCGTCGCCCGCGCCGCTTCCAGCGCGCCCCGCGCACTGGGGGACGGAGGCCCAGCGCCGCGGAGCGAGCCAGGGGCGGCGAAGCGAAGCGCAGCACGCCAGGGGCAGCGCCAGGGGCGGGGGGGGGGGGCGGGGGGGCACTCCGCCGACCCGAGAAGCCCCCGCGCGCGCCTCCGGAAGCCTGTGCTCGTGCGGTGCACCCGGTGTTCCAGCAAGGTTCCCCTCGCCGAGCGCGGCCGTCCAGCCTTCCCGCGGGGGGGGCAGCCGCCGAGAGCCGCCCAAGACCGTTGGAGGCCGCCGAAGGACGCCGAAGAAACGGCCGGAGGCCGCCCGATGACCGAAGACCACCCAAGGCCGATGGGTGGCAAGGGGTCCATGCAGTGGAGGCCCATGCCAAGAAGCACCCTGCCTGCCTCCAGGGTGGCCCGGGTTTCGACGGTCTCGATGGTGTTTTGCCCATGGAGAGCGTGGCGTTCCCACACCAAGAATCAGATCCATGGGCGTCCTGGGGTCTCAGGGTTGGGTTTCTTGTGAAAGGTGTCTTGTGGTCGGGCCCCTACTGTAGTCGAGTGAGTACGGCGGGAGGCCTTGGTTGCGGAATGTGCCCAGGAGGCTTCAGGCCCTTGAGGATTCCTTATCTGAGAAGGGCGCGGCGATGTCCATGGCCCATCCACGACTGGAGTTCCCCAAGGGGTTCCAGACCCTGGGCTCCTGATCCAGCGGTACCTTGACCAATGCCCCCACCGTGGGGAGCTGCGAGGAGGGAGGAGGAAGGAGCGAGTGGGGAGCTGCGAGGAGGGAGGAGGAAGGAGCGAGTGGGGAGTAGGGAGGAGGAGGAGGAGGAGGAGGAGGAGGAGGAGGAGGAAAAGAGGAGGAGGAGGAGGAGGAGGGAGGAGGAGGAGGAGGAGGTGGAGGAGGAGGAGGAGGGTGCATACCTCCAGAGGTGTGCCGCGGCTCGCGCCTGAGGGTCCTCGGCGGGACGCCAGGAGCCGCGACGCTCGCCGCGGCACTCGCGGGCCCGTCGGCACGGGTGGCGGTGCACCAGGATCGCCAGGCATCAGAGCGTGAGTTACCTGCCCCGCTTTCGCTTCCAGGCAAAACCAAGTCATACCACGCGCCTCCTCGTCAGGCGGCCTGACCAGTACAGGCCGTAGTTTGGCATCGCTTGGTATCTCTTGGAAGCGAGGGTGGTCAAAAGCGAGGTCGGTTTGCTTGACCCCTAAGAAAGCCCGTAGATCTGGGCGACTCGGGTCGTTCTCCGAGGAGGTCTCGGGCCACCCTGGCCTCCGAGTTGCCAAGAGCCCCGGCGGTGAGAGGAGAAGGCCTTCTCAGAGGGCTCGGAAGTCCACCGGCCTTCTGAGAAGATGTCTGAGCCTTCCTCGAAGACGCTGGAAGCTTCTGAGAAGGCGCGAGGGCTTCTGAGAAGTCCTGCCTTCTGCTGAGAAGGCCTTCTCCTTCTCACTTCCCCCCTCGCTCGCCGGCGAAAGGCTGTACTGCGAAGGACCGCGCGGTGAGCTCCCTTGGGATTTCCAGGTCACCGCGCGGTCCGCCATCACACGGTCCTGGGTCCCTTGCGACCTGGGCGTCGCATCATTTGTTGCGCCCCACGTTTTCTCAGGAGGGGAAAAAACACACAGACACAATTAATCTGCGATTCCCAGAAAATATGGGAAAATATGGGAAATGGGGGGGAAGACAGAAACCCAGAAAATATGGGAAAATATGGGGAGCATTTTTATTTGTGTGTGTTTATTTGTGTGTTCCAGTTCCCCTTTATTGTTGCGCCCCACGTTTTCGCCCGGCCTCGGGCCCTGGGATTCTCGCGGATCGATCCGGCTCGAGACACCGCAGGAAGTTGGGGTCGAGGGCTCCAGTGGTGCTTCTCCCCCGAGGTTTCAATCCTTTCGCGACGTCGGATCTTTGGAGAGGTCCTGACGCGCGATGGGTCCTGGAGATTGGACGAGGAGGAGGAGGAGGACGAGGAGGAGGGGGAGGAGGAGGAGGAGGAGGTGGGGGAGGAGGGGAAGGAGGAGGGGAAGGAGGAGGACGAGGAGGTTGTTTCCATATTCCCCGCAGGAGCTGCGGCCCGCCAGGCTGCCCCCCGCGTCGCGCTTCGGCGAGTGGGAGTGCAGCGGATGTGGCAAGGAGCACCGACGATACAGGATTCGACTAGGAGATCGACTACAGAATTGATTCACCCCGGAATCCAAAATTGGCTTCCTCGTCGAATCGATGAGCAATGCGTAGAAACGCACGTAGATCTACGAACATCCTGCTCAGTTTCCGTGGATTCGACGACCACTTCAATTTTTAAGTAAACCAATTCTGTGGTCGATCTCCTTACTCGGAGGATAGAGGTTCCAGGATCAAGGATTCGAGGATGGAGGATTCGAGGATCGAGGATGGGGCATCGAGGATTCGAGGATAGAGGTTCAAGGATAGGGGTTCGAGGACTCGAGGGCTAGAGTCTAGAGCATAGAGGCTCGAGGATCGAGGATTCGAGGATCGAGGAGCGCCCCGGCGGCGACATCCACTGGTCCGACGACGCCGAGAACAACGGGCTCGGCTTCTGCAGCGCCTGCAGGGCGGCAGGGCCCCGGCACCGGAAGCTGAGGGAGGGAGACACGCTGGCGAGGGTCACCAAGGGCTCAGAGGAGTCCCCGTTTCGCAGGTAGGGGGGCCACATGCGAACCCTACCCCTTCCCTTCGTGGGCCCTGGCAACGACAGGGCCGTTTTTGTTACCGGCTCCGCTCTGCCGTTTTCTTGCCGCTTCCGACGCCGTTTTTTTACCGGTTCCGTCGCCGTGTTTTTTTTTTAACCAGTTCCGGCTCCGGTTCCAATCCTGGAGCCGTTTTTTTGCTGTTTCCGGTCGCCGTTTTTTTGCCGCTTCCATTTTCAAGGGACATTTTTGGGAAACGGTAACAAAAACGGCCCTGCCGTTTCCAGGGCCCACAAAGCCCCTTCCCCCCACGATTTCTGAGGGGGAGGGCGGGGTTTGCTAAGCTCGGGAGCTCCCGAGCGAAGTGAACCCCCCACCCTCCCCCTCAGAGATTGTGTGGGGGGTAGGGGCAGGGTTCGCATGCGGCCCCCCTGTATGCCCAACGACCCGAATCTCAACGAGGCGGACGTGGACTCCTGCTCCGTGCTCATGCCCGACGATCCTCTCTTCGAAGACTACGGGGTGGTGAACGCGGCCATCTTGCGCGACCACGCGCAGGTCGAGGCTGCTTTCTATCGCCACTTTCATCGGAGTCTCGACCACAACCGGCTCAGTCGAGAGGCTCGCGCCGACGTAGTCGTGGTCACGTTCACAGATAGCGGCGGCAAGCAGAGCGAAAGGCGCTTAAGCAAAGACGAGTTCAGTGCCCTGGAGATCGCAACTGATGGCAGCTGCGCGTGGATATGGGACGAAAAGGTCAAGCATCGAACGCAAGGCGCGTTCGCAATCGAGACGATTGGCGACACCTCTGTGAAAGGCATGGCCGCTGAGGAGATCCGTGACGTTTTCGAGCGCCTCTGTGTGATGCCCCGGCCCGGGTCTCAGGTGGAGATTCTGGTATGCCATCAGAACATCATCCGTTATTTCTTCTTGAGGGCAATGCAATTCGACACCAGGGCGTGGTTGAACCTTGGCGGCTCCAACTGCACCATGACCCAACTTCGCATCACGCGGCGGGGAGATGTCATTTGCGATTTTATGTTCGATCACGGGAGTCAGATGCCAGTGAGCCACTACACGTTCAACAAGCATCCCGATGTGTAGTTGCGTGAGGGGCGTTAGGTAGCATGTGGATCTGAGCGCAAGCACTTATAAAGTGGCAGCCCCACGTCCGTCGACCCCACGTGCCTGCCAGCTGACGCAAGGAGGCAGTCGACCGCAGGCAGTAGCCGAACGCAATCATGTAGCATAGTCGCTCGGCAGCACTGAGCTGTCGCCGTCCGTGGGGTGTGGCACTGCGGAAAGGAAAGTTGAGGCCGTCCGAGGGCCGATGGGCGATGGGGTTTGGCAGCGGTGCGGGGACGAATGGCGAGGGGGCGCTGGCGCCGGGACACCCAGGAGGCTTGGCCTCCTCTGGCATGCTCGCGTCGTGAAGAAACGCTGCAGAAGGTTTTCAACCGCTCTGGGCCTCTGGGGGCCTTTGCTGGGCCCCAAGGCCGTCAAACAATAACTCATGAGACAAAGCCGGTCCCCGAGAAGGGGTCCGGATTTCAGCGGAGCCACCTTGGAAAAAGAACACGTCATCGGAGATCTGGGTCCACCTAGATCTCAGTCGACTGTTTTTCATGTGAAATAACATATGTTTGTTGCGTTTGCTTCGGGACCCCAAGGTCTGCTTCCGGGTGCCGGAGCCATCAGGAAACCATCGGGGATGCTGAGCTGGTCCCAGGGAAAGGAGTCGAGAGATCTGGGGCCCGCGAGATGAAGAAAACAGCCCGCCAGGCCTGGGCAGCCGCCGCGAACGAAAACGCAACGCGTGGTTGCTGGGGTCCAGAGCTCTGCAGGGCCACATTGTTGAAAAAGCACACGTCTTCGGAGGTGTGGGTGGTGCGCCTCTGGGCGTTCGGCCGGGAACCTGGTCCTAGGAAGGGGCCAGGCGCTCTTGTTCCGAAGCCTGCGTAGAGCGCTGGCCACCATGTGGGCGCACTGGCACTTGCCGGTTCAGCCCTTGAGCCCCCCCTTCTGCTCGGCTGAGTCGCTCCCCCCCTTGCTAACCCACTCGTTAGTCCTCCCTGGAACCCCTCCTCCGTCGCGGGTAATATTTATATGTTTGCAGAGCTTCTGCCATTCATGCAAGAGGCACGTGCGTGCCCAGGCTCATACAAAAAGCAGTTGGGCCACCAATGCGGTTGCCACAGGCTCCGATCAGACGACATGTTGAGAAGTACCCTTGCGGGTAAGAAACAGCATGTGTTAGAGCAAAGTTGGAGAACCACACTGGGAGCCAAAGGCAATGGTATGCTTGTCTGGTGGCCATGTGCAAAACTATCCTGGCGAAGAACCCAACCATATGCAGCTGTGCGTACCGTAAGTGCGAGTATCTTCTTCGGCAGCGATCCCTAAGGGGCCACGAAACGTGTGAGGCTGTGCCGGGGCCTTCGGTGGAGCTCCCTGTGGGGCCACGAGACGTGCAAGGGGTGTGCCGAAATGGGTGCGGTGGGCGCATGCGAACGCAGCCAGTGGGGCCTTCGGTGGAGCTCCCTGTGGGGCCACGAAGCGTGAGGGGTGTGCCGAACTGGGTGCGGTGGGCGCATGCGAACGCAGCCACTGGGGCCTTCGGTGGAGCTCCCTGTGGGGCCACGAAACGTGTGAGAGGTGTGCCGAAATGGGTGCGGTGGGCGCAAGCGAACGCAGCCACAGGGGCCTTCGGTGGGGCTCCCTGTGGGGCCACGAAACGTGTGAGGGCTGTGCCGACATGGGTGCGGTGGGCGCATGTGAACGCAACCACCGAGGCCTTCGGTTGAGCTCCCCGTGGGGCCATGGAACGTGTGAGGGCTGTGCCGACATGGGTGCGGTGGGCGCATGCGAACGCAGCCAGTGGGGCCTTCGGTGGAGCTCCCTGTGGGGCCACGAAGCGTGTGAGTGGTGTGCCGAAATGGGTGCGGTGGGCGCGTGCGAACGCAGCCACTGGGGCCTTCGGTGGAGCTCCCTATGGGGCCACGAAACGTGCGAGGTGAGCGCCGAACTGGGTGCGGTGGGCGCATGCGAACGCAGCCACTGGGGCCTTCGGTGGGGCTCCCTGTGGGGCCACGAAACGTGCAAGGGGTGTGCCGAAATGGGTGCGGTGGGCGCATGCGAACGCAGCCACTGGGGCCTTCGGTTGAGCTCTCCGTGGGGCCACGAAACGTGTGACGGGTGTGCCGACATGGGCGCGGTGGGCGCATGTGAACGCAGCCACTGGGTCCTTCGGTTGAGCTCCCTGTGGGGCCACGAAGCGTGAGGGGTGTGCCGGAATGAATGCGGTGGGCGCAGGCGAACGCAGCCACTATTGGTTCCGTTGGGGCTCCCTGTGGGGCCACGAAGCGTGTGAGGGGTGTGGCGAACTGGGTGCGGTGGGCGCATGCGAACGCAGCCACAGGGGCCTTCGGTGGAGCTCCCTGTGGGGGCACGAAACGTGTGAGGGGTGTGCCGAAGTGGGTGCTGTGGGCGCATGCGAACGCAGCCACTGGGGCCTTCGGTGGAGCTCCCTGTGGGGCCACGAAACGTGTGAACGTGTGCCGAAATGGGTGCGGCGGGCGCATGCGAACGCAGCCACTGGGGCCTTCGGTGGAGCTCCCTATGGGGCCACGAAGCGTGTGAGGGGTGTGCCGAACTGGGTGCGGTGGGCGCATGCGAACGCAGCCACGGGGGCCTTGGGTGAGGCTCCCTATGGGGCCACGAAACGTGTGAGGGGTGTGCCGAAATCGGTGCGGTGGGCGCATGTGAACGCAGCCACTGGGGCCTTCGGTGGAGCTCCCTGTGGGGCCACGAAACGTGTGAGGGGTGCGCCGAAATGGGTGCGGGGGCGCATGCGAACGCAGCCACAGGGGCCTTCGGTGGAGCTCCCTGTGGGGCCACGAAGCGTGTGAGGGGTGTGCCGAATTGGGTGATGACGATGATGATGATGATGATGATGATGATGATGATGATGATGATGATGATGATGATGATGATGATGATGATGATGATGACGATGATGTCGATGACGATGACGATGACGATGATGATGATGATGATGATGATGATGATGATGATGATGATGATGATGATGATGATGATGATGATGATGATGATGATGATGATGATGATGATGATGATGATGATGATGATGATGATGATGATGATGATGATGGGAGGGGGGAGGAAGGGGAGGAGGAGGAAGGAGGAGGAAGGAACCCGGGGCGACGTCTCTTCAAAACGAAGACCCAACACCACAGGATGGTTGGGAATAAAGAAATCCAATGCGTGCTTGAAGGTTGGCTTTAAAAGTGCTCGATAACAAAACACGAAGCCATTTAAACAGCAGTTGTTGCGGATTTGTTATAGTCGAAAACCAAAGGACAGATTTGAGGATGTCCCGAGCGGAACGGCCAGAAACATGTTGGACGAGACGGGCTTCACCAACAATTGCCTCTGAGTTATGTTCCTTTAGAGAGGTGCAAATGGCGTCAATACTGTTTATGGCACACTCTCAGATTACAGTGCGAGCGCGGCCGCAAGAAACCCTTGCAAGAAACCCAACCCTGAAAGCCCACGCGCGAAGTGCACTGGAGGGGAAACCTGGAGCATTCTGAACGCAGCAGCTCCTTCAACTGCCGCGGGAAGTCGCCGCGCAGCGCGCGAAGCGAAGAAACCCAGGATACCCTGACGAAAAGCATATGGTTTCTTGATGCGCGCCCCCACTGTACCCTGTAGCGCACCTCACGGGGGTAGAAACACATTGGATGCAGCTGACTCCGTGGAGCGGCGTGTTCTCCCCCCCTCCTCTCGCGTCATTTCGCAGAGGCTCACCCCCGAGGCCGTCGGAAGTTCCCAGAAGGCCCCCAGAGTCCGACAAGATTGAGTTCCGCGAGGTTCGATATTCGAGTTCCGTGCCTAGAAGTCCAAGTCATATTCGTGACTCTTCCCTTTCCGTCTCCTTCTCCTTCTCTTCTTCCTCCGCTTGCTTCTCCTCCTCCGCCTCCCTCCCTGCCGCGCGATGGACCAAAGGACCTCCTCGGGCCTTCTGAGACTTCTGGGGGCCTCCTGGGACGTCCTCGGGCATCCAGGGGCCTCCTGGGGCTCCTGGACCTCCTGGGGCCTCTGGCGGCTTCTTGGAACTTCCTGGGACTTCCTGGGGCATCCCGGAACTTCATGGGGACTTCCTGCGCCTCCTGCACGGGGCTTCCTGGGACCTCTCTGGGGGGACCTCCTGGGGCGTTTCAAGTCGTCCCAGGGCCTCCTGGGAGCTGCCGGGGCCTCCTGGGATCCCGTGGGGTTTCCTGGCCCCTCCAGGGGCTCCCAGGGCGCTGCCTCTTGAGCTTCCTGGAGCTTCCTGGGACCCCCTGGGGTCTCCTATGCGTCGAGCGCGTCTGAGAGAGTCCGCTCCAGGGAGCGGCCCCGCACATTGCTACGCGGCGATTTGGCCTCCCCGGGGCCCTCAAAGAAGCCCCGCGCCAGGCCTCAAAGTGGACGACCGTTTCGAGGACGGGAGCCTTGTCGTTGACAACGAGGGTGCGGCGAAGAGTAAAAAGTAGCGACAATCTCGCATTCGAGGCCCAAACCCATGCGGAAGCTCCAGCGGCGCGAAGCCCGTTCCACCACGTTATGGTGCGGTGTGCCATCCCCCCTTATTGTCCCGCCGGGCTTCGTGAGGGTGACGTGTTACGTGTTCGCTGGTAAGAACTATAGTTCCCCCCCTCTTGGCGGTGACGGGGTGGCAGGCGGCGGGGGTGAGCGGGCTGGTTAGGTGGCGGGGTGGTTGGTTGAGCTGGTTGGCTGACGGGCTGGGTGGGTGACGGGGTGGCGGGTTGGGCTGGTTGGCTGGTTGGGTTGGCGGGGTCTGCAGACTGAGCTGGCTAGGGCCATTCGCTTCGGTGTTGTTCTTGCTTGCCCGATTCCTTACTCCCCCTCCTGCTCCCCCTCTTCCCAGCGGACCCTCGGACCGCCTGGGGGTACCCGCCGGGGGCTCTCACAGACAAGGTCCCCAGCGAAGCCCACGCACCCAGACATCCGACGTCGTGGAAATTCCGCAACGTAGATCCCCAGAGGTCTGGACCCCTTCCTGGGGACCAGTTATTGAGCCCCTATCGTTTTTCGGCGATTGACAGGACCGGTGAAGGCCCCCCGTACTCCGAAAACGGCCAAAGCCATTCCGTCGAGCTCCTTACGACGCGAGCACGTCGGGGAGCCCCAGCAGCGGGAGACCCCCGCGCACGCTGGGCCCCACAAGTCGCAGCCGCTCGGCTCGCCTCGGATGTCTCGCATGCTCGTTCTACGCCAGGGCGGCACGGCGGCGGGGTCCGGGGCTGTGCACAGACAGCGCACTCGGGGGCAGTGGGGGTCGCCCTCAACAGGCCCAGAGGCCAGTCAGAGGCACGCCCCACGCCCTGGGGCCTGCTGAAGCCGATGAACCTCAGGACATGTGTGAGCCCTGTGGCTGTGTCATTGTGTGTATCCGTGTGTCTTTGCGTGGCCGGTCAGTGTCTGCGTGCGTGCGTGCGTGCGTGTGTATGTGTGTTTGTGTGTTTGTGTGTATATGTGTATCTGTGTATCTATGTGTTTTTGTTTTTGTGTGTCTGTGTTTTTTTGTTTCTGTGTGTCTGTGCGTTTGTGCGTGTGTGCGTTTGCGCGTTTGTGCGATTGTGGGTTTGTGGGTGTGTGGGTTTCTGGGTTTGTGGGTGTGTGGGTGTGTGGCTTGTTTGTTTGTGTGCTTCTATGTTTGTGTGTTTGTGTGCTTGTGCGTATTGTGCGTATTGTGTGTTTGTGTGTGTGGTTGTGTGTTTGTGTGTTTGTGTGTGCGTGTGTTTGTTTATGTTTGTTTGTGTGTTTGTGTGTAGTTGTGTGTTTGTGGGGTTGTGGGCTTGTGTGTTGTGTGTCTGAGTGCAGTGCGGGTTTGTGTGGTTGTGTGTTTCCGTTATTGTATGGTTGTGTGGTTGTGTGTTTGTGTGTGTGTGTCTGTGTGTTATTGTGTGTGTCTGTGTCTCTGTGTGTTTGTGACTATGTGTGAGCTTGTGTGCTTGTGTGTCTGTGCGTCTGTGTGTATGTGTGTCTATGTGTTTGTGTGTCTGTGTGCATGTTTGTCTGTGTGCCTGTGTGTCTGTGTGTCTGTGTGTCTGTGTGTTTGTGCGTCTGTGTGTCTGTGTGTTTGCGGGTTTGTGTGTTTGTGGGTATGTGCTTGCGTGTTTGTGTGTTTGTGTGTTTGTGCGTTTGTGTGGTTGTGCTGGCTGTGTTGTTTGTGTATTTGAGTGTCTGTGCGTTTGTGTGTCTGTGTGCCTGTGTGTCTGTGTGTCTGCGTGTCTGTGTGTCTGTGTGTCTGTGTGTCTGTGTGTATGTTTGTCTGTGTTTGTCTGTGTTTGTCTGTGTTTGTCTGTGTGTCTGTATGTTCGTGTGTGGGTGCGTGTGGGTGCGTACGTCTGTGTGTGGTTGTCTGCGCCTGTGTCTGCATGTGTGCCTTTATCCCGCTCCGTTCCACCGACGGCCCGCAGCCTGCGCCAGGACCAGCTCCTCCTCCCGAGTTGTTGGACGGCTCCGGGGCCCCGTGGACGGCCCCTGGGGCCCGAGAGCGGCGGAGGACCTCCAGGCCCCGCTCCCCCTCCACGGACCCCCACATCGGCAAACCACCGGTGGCAGCCCGTGGAGGCAAGTCTCCCGGGGCTGTCTGCGCGCAGCCCTGGGCGCCGCCAGGGGCCGCGGCGAGCAGCGGGGGGCGGGCGAGGGTAGCGCGCCGGGCGCCCGAAGGACGGCGTCCTCCACCGAGATCCTCGCGAGCGCCGCGCAGGCCGGGGGCCAAGTGGGGGCGTCGGGGGCGGCGAGGGGGGCGGCGAGGAGGGCGGCGAGGGCCAGGGGCGCGTGGCCATCGTGGCCAGGCCCGTGGAGTCTCCCAGAGGTCATGGGCCCCGCTGCTTCCCCCCCGCCCCCCTCGTCCGCGCTCGAGGCATGGAGGCCTGGCCCCGCACGCCTCGGAGGGGGCGGAGTTGCGGGGGGGGCTTCTTGGACGGATGCCCCCCCCGAGCCCAGACCTCCGACGTAGTTTGTTGTTCGCGATGTCGTCGTCGTCGTCGTCGTCGTCGTCGTCGTCGTCGTCGTCGTCGTCGTCGTCGTCGTCGTCTTCCTCCTCTTCCTCCTGCTCATCTTCCTCCTCTTCCTCCTCTTCCTCCTCCTCTTCCTCCTCTTCCTCCTCCTCTTCCTCCTCCCCTTCCTCCTCTTCCTCCTCCTCCTCCTCCGTGTGGGCCCTCAGAGCTCTCGACTACATCCCCCCAGGACCAGGCTTTGCCGTGGCGCCGGGAGGTCCAGCTCCGGGAGCCTTGCCCAGTGTGGCGTGCGGACGGGAGCGGGGGCAACGAGAAGCGCACCTTTCCAGCGTGGCACTGCTGGGACGTATGCATTTTTTCTTGGCGAGAACCATCTGGGAGCATGCTGGATCATCGTGCGAAAGATGAACGCACGAAACAGAAAATTGCACTGGGAATGGACGTCCGAGCGATGCGCACCTCCTGAAACTGCGGCGGCAGTTTGGAGAACCGTTGGGGCCACGTCCCCGCAACCCTCGATCGCCCCCCGTGTACTGCCACCCCTTGGCATCCGCCCGACTTTGGGCTCGGACTGGCCGCACTTAGGGAAGCTGTGGTCTTTGCGCTCCCCCTCCAGTCGAGGGAACGCTGACACGGATGAAGGCGTGTGGATTAGCGGAAGGGCCCCGCTTCCGTGCAACCGTACCGCCCTGGCGGAAGGGCGCGTGGATTAGCGGAAGGGCGCGTGGATTAGCGGATGAAGGGCGCGCGCCGTCGTCAAATGAGGTGGCACGGGCCTCATGTGTCGGGGGTGCCCTCCCCGGTCCGTGGATCTGGCAACCACGCTCCAGATCCACGGTTCGCTAATCCATGCCAGCGTGCGCCCGATTCAGGGGGCCCATCGGCTTCGACACCCCGCTCGAGAGAGAGATCGTGGGCACGATAGGCTCCCCCCCCAGGGGACGGGTGGGGGAGCACAGCTTCCCCGGCTGCGGCTGGTGGGCCCCTCTTGCACTACGCGGAAAAGTGGACCTTCGCCGGAGTGACCTTTGCTGCGGGCCCATTGTGGCCCCCCGATCGCCGAATGCGATGCAGTAGCAGCTGCCTGCGCGCTCGGGTTTGGCCCCCTCGCGCCCCCCAGGAGCCGCGCACCGGAGGCCACTGCTGCCGAGGGTCATTGCTGAGTTCAGCCGACTCCCCAACGCCGTGGAGGGGCTCACGAGGAGGAGGAGGAGGAGGAGGAGGAGGAGGAGGAGGAGGAGCAGGCGCGAGGCGCGAGGAGCGAGGAGCGAGGAGAAGGAGGAGGAGGAGGAGGAGAAGGAGAAGAAGGAGGAGGAGAAAAAGGAGGAGGAGCGCGAGGAGCGAGGAGCGAGGAGGAGGAGAAGGAGGAGGAGGAGGAGGAGGAGGAGCGCGAGGAGCGAGGAGCGAGGAAAGAGGAGCTGCCTTCGTCTCTGGTGCCCTGGCCCCCCCCCCCCCCCCCGTGCAGGGGCTCCAGGCCCTGGCCGCGCGGAGCGCCCGCTCGGGCACGCCCTCCTCCGCGGGCCGCACGGTCAGCCCCGGCTCCGGCACCGGGTCTCCGACGAGGCGTCCCGCGCCTGCCCCCCGCCGCCGCCGCCGCCGCCGTCGCCGTCGCCGTCCCCCTCGGGCCGTTCTCCGAGGACGTCTCGGGCGACGGGGGCCTCCGAGGTCCCAAGACCGTGCGGTGACGGACCGTGCGGTGAGGTCTTGGGGGATTTCGAGGTCACCGCACGGTGCGTCACCGCACCGTTTCGGGACTCCAAAGAGGTGTCCCGCGCCTGCCCCCCGCCGCTGCCGCCGCCGTGGCCGTCGCCGTCGCCCTCGTCTCGTCTAGACGTAAGAGTGGCCTTTCGCCGGAGTGGCCTTTGGTGCGGGCACAGCCGGGTCCCCAGATGGCCGAAGACGGAGCAGGAGCAGCGGATTGCGCGCCCAGGTTTGGTCCCCCATCGGCCCCCAGAAAGCCGCGCACCAAAGGTCACTCTTGCCCAGGGTCACTCTTGCGTGTAGCCGATCGTCGTCCTCGCGCTGCGGGAGAAGAGAAAAGACAGCCCCAGTGCCCGTGCACTGCTCTGGTCTCGACGACCAGGCTGCCTTTCCAGGCAAGCCCAGCGTGAACTGGGGCCAGCAGGGAAGAAACCAACGAGCAAGCAGGCAAACAAGTAAACAAACAGCAGCATCCTTTGTTCTGGAAGCTGAGGCCCAAGGGCGGTCGAAGAGCGGTTGGGGAGGCAGAAGCGGGCCCAGGGGAAGGAGTGCTGACCTTTGGGGAGCCCCGCTATTACAGAAAGATGAGACGTCGGATGTGTGGGTCGTTAGGCCGTCGGATGTGTGGGTCGTCCCTCTTTGCACTGACCACCTTGCCACGGGCCCCCACTGCTGAAGTCGCTGTTCGTTGCGCGTCTCCGCGCGACATGCAGCGCACGATTGCGAACACATTGCCGAGTGCTTTGCTCGAGTCTAGAAGCTACAGGCTCGAATCTAGAAGTCATTCGACGCAAAGAAATTGCGCAATCACAGCTTGAGAGTTCTTTGGTTTCATCGTGTCCTCCTTCCTCAGCCCACCGCTCCAGAGTGTTAGCCTCGGCGCAGGAGGGGGGAGCACGAACTAGGGCATTTGCCCTAACCACGCGTTGTTCAAACCGTGCGGATGCTACCGTGGGGACGCGAATCAAGGAACCAGATTCGGAAAGTAGGGCACTGGTGTATATACATATAACGGCGCACCGGGTCCGGGGGCCCGGGGCCGGGACCTCGACCACAAATGTGGGCCCCGGGGGGCCCGGAGGCTCGTCGGACCGCCGGACGCCGTCCAAGATCGTTCGCAGGCGGCTTCGGAACGCGCTCCGATGGCTCCAGATGCCTTCCAAGATGCTTGTCATGACACCAAGAAGGTCCCAGAAGCCTCCAATACGCTCCGAGAGGCAGCCCAAGAGAGGCCCAAGAAACGAAAATCGTGCCATTCCGATGGGAAAACGTATATTTTTCGCATGTTCGCCTCTTGGACTTTCGCCGCGTCCAAGACGGCCCAAGAGGCGCCCAAGACGGTCTACGAGGCCTCCGGGAGCGCTCCAAGGCTGCGCACGAGTGGCCCAGGACGGCCCCAAGACGGCCGAAGAGAGCCCCAAGACGAGTTCGAGAGGGGTCCCAGACGGAGAAAGCCAACCTCGAATTCCGAGCTTCCGGCCCAAGAGGCTCCAGGAGGCGCCAAAATGCCGCCAAGAGGCGCCAAAAGGCTCCCAAAAGCACCCCAAGACGTTCCGAGAGGCACCCCAAGAGAGGTCCAAGAAACAAAAATCGTGCCATTCCCATGGGAAAACGTATATTTTTCGCATGTTCGCATCTTGGGCTTTCACCGCGTCCAAGACGGCCCAAGAGGCCTCCAAGACGGCCTAGGAGGCCTCCGGGAGCGCTCCAAGGCTGCGCACGAGTGGCTCAGGACGGCCCCAAGACGGCCCAAGAGAACCCCAAGACGACTTCGAGAGGGGTCCCAGAAGGAGAAAGCCACTCTCGAATTCCGAGCTTCCGGCCCAACATATCCCAGGAGGCGCCAAAACGCCGCCCAGAGGCGCCAAAAGGCTTCCAAAATCAGCCCAAGACGTTCCGAGAGGCACCCCAAGAGAGGTCCAAGAAACAAAAATCGTGCCATTCCTATGGGAAAACGTATATTTTTCGCATGTTCGCATCTTGGGCTTTCACCGCGTCCAAGACGGCCCAAGAGGCCTCCAAGACCGCCCCAAGACGGCCCAAGAAGCTTCCAAGAGGGCCCCAGGACAGCCCAAGAGGGCCCCAAGACGGCCCAAGAGGCGCCCAAGATGGCCCAAGAGGGCCCCAAGACGGGCCCAAGAGGGGGCCCAGAGGGGGACCACGAACCGCAAGCTCGAGCCTTCCGCCCCAAGAGGCCGCCAGGAGGCCCCAAGGAGGCCCCTCAAGAGGCCCCAGGAGACCCCCAAGAGGCCCAAAGGAGGCCCCGAGAAGCCCCAAATCGGCCCCCAAAATGCTTCGAACCTGCTTCCAGGAGGCCCCCGACAGGTTCAGAGGCTCCCGAGAAGCTACGTCAAACTCCCAGCGAGCGGCCGGACGAGGCCCCCCACAAAATCACAAGAGGGTTCCAGTATTTGTATCCTTCAGCGCTCTCTGGCCTTCTTCCCCCTGCCCCCTTCCCTGCGACTTTCGTTGACTCAAGCTCGCCTCCTAGCTAGAACCTAAGCGCGCGAAGCGCGCGCGCGTGGTTCTAGTGTATATATATATATATATATATATAAATAAATAAATACATTACCAGTAATGGGCTGTTTTTCAATCCCCGGACTTTGTGAGGGTCGGGGACGACGTCGGGGTGGCGTGGTGTATATTTGTTGTTCCCGCTTTCGGGGGAAACAACGAAAACAGATTTCAGTGGAGGGACTGAAATAGCCTCTGTGTATAGAGTTCTGTTCCTTACATGTGTTTCTTCGCTCCGCGCGCCGCGCGGTGATTCCCCTCGGCCGTTGAGGAAGCTGTTGCGTTCAGGGTGCCCTTGGCCCCCCCCCGTGTGCATCTCGCGCGCGGGTTTTCAGGGCTGGGTTTCTTGCGAGGGGTTGTTGCGGTCGCGTCCGCACTGTACGCCCAGCGGCGGCGGCAGGGCCGTTCTTGAGATGAGATGTGGAGGCCTGCTGACTCAAGCCCAAAGCCGTTTAGACTTCTGTGGCAAGGGCCACAAAGCTTAGTAGTTCGCCTCTATCATGAAGTACGAGCGCACCTTTCAATCCTTCCACGCGTTGTCCTCATCAGCAGCATCATCATCAGCAGCAACACCATCATCATAATGTGAGTCCTTTGGCCGTTGACCCGTCAAACACGTTGTCACAAATTTTCATTATTGTAGTGGCCTTCGGCCAGTGCCGCCGATCCGGGGCGCTCCGACTGATGTGATCCTTCTTCGCCCTCGTCCCTCCTCTCTTTTTCCCTCCCCTCCTCTCACTCAGCATTTCTCCAGTGGCCGTCGGCCTATCCCGCCACCGTGCGTGGGTGGTGGGTCAGAGGCCTCATGGATGCTGGTTGGGATCTCGTGGTTGGCTGGGACTTCTGGGGGCCTCTTGGGCGCCTCTTGGGGCTTCTTGGGGGCCTCTTGGGCCTCTTGGGGCCACTAGAGGGCCTCTTGGGGGTCTCTTGGGAGCCTCTTGGGGCTTCTTGGGGGCCTCTTCTGCGCCCCTTGGGGCCTCTTGGAGGCCTCCTCGGAGCCTCTTGGTGCGGGAGGGGTGGTACTCGAGTTCGGAACCCCCTCGGAGGCCACGATCCTTGTGAGGGGTGTCAAAAAACGCATCCGCCGGAAACTCGCACCCCCCCCCCCCCTTCCCCGGCAGAGCCACCCCGGCAACCCCCCCAGAGGCTGAGGCTCAGCCTCGAGGCTGTAGCTGAGACTCCTTGAAACTCACACGCCGGATCGGTGGATTTATCCTCCTACCCCTCCTCACACGGAGGGAGTTGCGGAGAGGGGAGAGGAGAATGGCATGGGGGAGAGAGGCCAGGGGGAGAAGGGCAAGGGCGGGATTGAGGAAGGAGGGGGGGGCCAGGGAGTAAAGGGAGGGAGCCAGGGGAATCATCCAGGCCTTCCAGATGGGGCCAGAGTGAGCCCGACTTTCTCAGTCCCGCGTCGCCCATGCATCAGCGATGCATCGGTGATGCGGTGCAATCTTTCGACCCTACCTGCTCTGGCCCCGTTCGGGAGGCTTCCAGGGAAGGGATGGGAGGGGAGGGGAGGGAGGAGAGTCCGAGAGCCGAGGGAGGGGGGCGATCTCTGGCCGAGGAGCCCAAGGGGCGGGCCCGCGTCCGCCGCCACTTCGAAGCTGGACCACGACGCCCGGCGCGTCTCCAACGCCAGCATGGATGACCTGGCGAAGGCGCTCGGGGCTGAGGCGGCCGCCATGGGCGCCGCCAGCGCCGACTGCCTGACCGTTCCGCAGGCGCTGGAGAGTCTCAGGCTTGATGTGGAGCAGGTCTTCAACAAGCACAGGGAGCTCTGCGGTGGCAAATGCGGGCCTAGGAGCGCGCAGGCGCCAAGATGTGCCGCGCAGGCGCTGGATGTGGACGTGCAGGCCCTGGACGTGGATGTCCCGAGGTCGCCGCGGCTCACCCTGCAGGCGCCAGACGCGGACGCCTCTCCCAGGTCGCGGGCGCGGCCGAGTGTCATCGGTGCGCCCCGGGGATCGGAGGGCTTTGGCCTGCCCCGGGGCGTCGCGCAGCCCCAGCTCCCAGGCCTGAGGCCTTCCGTTACCCCAGTTCACCGCCTCAGCGGGCAGCGCAACAGCAACGCCGGGCCGCGCCGGAGGCGCGACTTTTCGTCCAGGATGCGCGGTCACACGTTTGATGTCAAAGAGGCTGAGGGCAACTGGATGCACTCCCTCCTGCAGAGGAGCAACACGGGGACAACGTCGTTTGTGAGCAGGCGCGCCGTCAAGGCGGTGTCAAAGGCGGCGAGCACAATCTCGCAGCACGCGCCGACGGCTCGCGTCCACGATTTCGTGAGCCGCCCTCTGTACGAGCTTGCCCAAGTTATGCTGTTTTTCCTGGACGCCGTGCTCGTCGTGTGGGAGATGCAGCACGCGGCGTACAGAGCTGCCTCTGGCCCGAACCACGGCGCGGGGGGCATCGAAGACGCCCTGCTTTTGACGGTGCTCATGAACATCTCGTGCGCCTGCGTCGTCGTCGACCAGCTGCTGAAGCTCGCCGGCGGGAAGTTCGACGAGGCGCTCGGCGTCGGCTGGCAGTCGTTCCACGTGCTGGTCGCGGTCACACAGCTGATCCAGACCATCGGCCAACATTCGCACATGCACCAGAGGTCCTGGTCGCAGTTCCGGGTTGGCCTCGCCATGCTCTCCACCCTGCGCCTCGGCCGGGTGCTGTCGCTGGTGCTGGTGTCGAGGGTCATCCGCCAGCACCGCTTCTTCAGGGAGCTGCGCATCATGGTCCACGCCCTCGCCGGGGTGCTGAAGGTGCTGCTGTGGTCCAGCCTGCTGATCTTCACGATCATCCTCATGTTCGGCACCGTGCTGTCCGAGGGCACCCTGGCCCTCCTGCTGCGGAGCCAGCCCGACGGCGTGCCGCCGTCGCTGCAGTTGCGGTTCGGCTCGCTCTTCGATGCCGTCCTCACGCTCTTCCAGTCGATGTCTGGAGGCGTCGACTGGGAGCAGGTCTTCAGGGGCAACCTTAGTGAGGGATAACCTCAGGGGGGTACGCATCGAGCCCCAGTGGACCATTCATCGCCGACAGGGGCCCGGTAGCTTCACCCCGCCCAGAAACGTGCGGCATCGTAATCGAGGTCCCGTCGCCGATTTGTCGGCGATGTCTCGCCGATTCCAGGGCAAGGTTTCCCCCTTGAGCCAGTCCTCCCTCCTACCCCCCCTTCTGCTACCCCATCAGGTCTGGCTAGACTTGGGCGCGCTTGGTTGGAGCTACAGGGGAGTGTACCTGCTGTTCATCTGCTTCTCTCTGAGCGTGCTGCTCAATGTTGTGACGGCCGTGTTTATCGAGAGCACGATGGCACGCTCTATGAACGACCGCGGCCTGGTGGTGCAGAACGAAGTGCTGGAGAAGCAAGATTTCTTGCGCTCCATGAGGAAGATTTTTCAAGAACTAGATACCGATTTCGACGGCACCATTACCATGGAGGAGATGCAGAACAAAATGATGGACCCCGAGATTGGCGCTTACTTCACCCAGCTCGGCGTGAACCCCGACCAAGTGGGCAAGCTGTTCTTCCTCTTGGATCGCGACAAATCGGGGACTCTCGATCAAGATGAGTTCCTGTTCGGCTGCCTGAAATTTCAAGGCGACGCCAAGAGCCTGGACATTGCTGTCATACACCAACAGGTCCTGTGGATCCACGATACCCTGAAGATCGTAGTTTCCCACCTCGGGATCGACGCCGACGACATGGACAGTCGAATATCTGAGAACGTCCGGAATTCCTGCTTCTCCATCGCTGAAACTGAGGTGCCACCTGCCCCGCTCCCTTGTTGGAATCCTGTGCTGATCCATTAGGAACCCTTGTTAATACATGAAAGTGTACTGATCGATTCACGGAAAAAAGGGGACATGCTGGGGAAGGGGCGGGTCTGCGAGGGCGGCACGCAGCGAAAAGCCCGGGTGGGATGTCTGCTGGTTGAATTCCCCAGATGAGCTAGAAGACGGAAGAAGAGGACCAGTATGTAGTAGTAGTAGTAGTAGTAGTAGTAGTAGTAGTAGTAGTAGTAGTAGTAGTAGTAGTAGTAGTAGTAGTAGTAGTAGTAGTAGTAGTAGTAGTAGTAGTAGTAGTAGTAGTAGTAGTAGTAGTAGTAGTAGTAGTAGTAGTAGTAGTAGTAGTAGTAGTAGTAGTAGTAGGTAGTAGTAGTAGAGGAGGAGGAGGGAGAGGAGGAGGAGAGGAAGAGGAGAGGAGGAGGAGGAGGAGGAGGAGGAGGAGGAGGAGGAGGAGCGGAGGAGGAGAAGGAGGAGGAGGAGGGGAGAAAAAAGAAAAGAAGGAGGAGGAGGAGGAGAAGGGACAGGAGGAAGGAGGAGGAGGAGGAGCAGGAGGAGGAGGAGGAGGAGAGGAGTGAGGGGCAAGGATCTAGGAGCAAGGATGAGGATCAGTAGGTAGGAGGAGCAGGAGGAGAAGGAGGAGAAGGAGGACCAGCAGGTGGTAGGGAAGAGGAGGAAACATAGTGTGGGGAGGAGGAGCGGACGGCGGAGGAGGGGGACGGACGAGGGCCAGAAGAGAGGAGGGAGGCGCGAGGAGGAGGAGAAGCAGGTAGGAGGAGGAGGAGCAGGGGGAGGAAGAGAAGGAAGAGGAGGAGGAGGAGGAGGAGGAGATGGGGGAGGAGGAGACGGAGGAGGAGGAGGGGGAGAAGAAGAAAAAGAAGGAGGAGGAGGAGGAGAAGGGACAGGAGGAAGGAGGAGGAGGAGGAGAGGAGGAGGAGGAGAGGAATGAGGGGCAAGGATCTAGGAGCAAGGAGGAGGACCAGTAGGTAGGAGGAGCAGGAGGAGAAGGAGGAGAAGGAGGACCAGCAGGTGGTAGGGAAGAGGAGGAAACATATTGTGGGGAGGAGGAGCGGACGGCGGAGGAGGGGGACGGACGAGGGCCAGAAGAGAGGAGGGAGGCGCGAAGAGGAGGAGAAGCAGGTAGGAGGAGGAGGAGCAGGGGGAGGAAGAGAAGGAAGAGGAGGAGGCGGAGGAGGAGGAGGAGGAGGAGGAGGAGGGGGAGAGAGAGAGGAGAGATGAGAGAATCCATGAGAAAGGAAAGAGAGGGTAAAGAAGAGAAGAGAGAGTAGAGAGGAGGAGGAGGAGGAGGAGGAGGAGGAGGAGGAGGAGGAGGAGGAGGGGAGAGGAGAGAGGAGAGATGAGAGAATTAAAGAGAAAGGAAATAGAGGGTAAAGAAGAGAAGAGAGAGTAGAGAGGAGGAGGAGGAGGAGAAAGGAGAAGGAGGAGAAGGAGAGGAGGAGGAGGAGGAGAGGAGAAGGAGAAGGAGAAGGAGGAGGAGGAGGAGGAGGAGGGGAGGAGGAGGGGGAGGAGGAGCAGGAGGAGGAGGAGGATTGGGGGAGGAGAGAGGAGAGGTTAGAGAATAGAGGGAATATAGAGAGAACAGAAAGGAGAGGATAGAGGAGAGAAGAGAGATGAGAGAGAGGAGAGACAAGCCAGGTACGCTCGCGCAAAATCTGACATCCTACCCATCCCACTCATCCCTCCCCATGAAGATGATGCGATGATGTGTGTATGTGGTTTATCCGCCGACGTGTGACACAGCAGGCCTGTAACCCTCAAAAGTGCACCATTGTGTCATGCGCAATCAGGAAGGGGGGAGCTGAGTAGATTGGAGGAGGTGGCGGGTGAGTTGGAGGATGTGCAAGAGGAAGACGAAGAGGATGAGGAAGAAGGAGGACGAGGAAGAACAGCATCAGCAGGAGGATGAGTGGGAGGAGGGGAGGAAGAGGAGGCGGAGGACCAGGGGAAGGCGGAAGAGCGGAGAGGAGCGGGGAGACAACGATAAGGAAGGATTCGGATTCAGAAAAGTGTCTCGCGCTGGGGCGAGAGCGCCATATTGAATGACGGGAGCAGAGCGCCGATCCGGAAATCAGGCAGTACCGAAAACGCTTGGATTGAACCAAACGTAATATAACAACAAAACAACTCGTACCAACCCTGTGTGTAGATGGCAGTACGCGGAAGGGTACGCACGAATGTCAGGTCGCCCTCGGAGGAGAGAGTAGAGTAGGCTTCATATTGAGTTATTGTAGAGAGGAGGGGGAGAAGGAGGCGGACGAGGAGGAGGAGGAGTAATGGAGGAATGGAGGAATGGAGGAGGAGGAGGAGGATGAGGAGGATGAGGAGGAGGAGGGAAGCACGCCGACGACCAGCAGGAGAATAAGACAGGAGGAAGGAGGGACAACAACCGACGAGGGAGAGGGAGGAGTGAGGAGGAGGACGTTAGAGGAGGAAAGAGGACGAGAAGATAAACAGAGGGAGAGAGGAGAGGGAGGAGAAGCGAGGAGCAAGGAGCTAGGAGCGAGGAGCGTGAAGGAGTACGGAAGAAGGATGAAGGAGGAGGGTGAGTTGCCAGAGGTTTTTGGAAGCCTTGGGAGGCCACCCCAGCCTGGGGCCGAAAAGGGCTCAAAGGGGAGGCACAGAGACCCAGACAGCTGTCACCAAAAGCATCCGGCGCGATCGCTGTCTGGTCGCCAGTGGTCTGGGGAGGAGGTGTCCTCGGCCACAGGCCCCCCGAACGGGGCCCGAGCAGATGAGTCGGAGGAGTGTGCCGCATCGCTGATGCGAGAAATTCGGCCTCAAAAACATTAGCCAGGCGAAGGACCCAACCAGACGCAGTTGTGAGTACCGCAGTTGTGGGCATCGTCTTCGGTGGAGCTCCCTATGAGCCACGACACATTGTACTGGGCGGGGGAGACGCATGCGAGATTTGCCACTGGGACCTTCGGTGGAGCTCCCAATGGGCCACGAAAACGTATGTGCACTTTGCCACTGGGGCCTTCCGTAGAACTCTGCATGGGCCACGACACGTTGTACTGGGGAGACGCATGTGGATGTTGCCACTGGGGCCTTCGGTGGAGCTCCCTATGGGCCACGAAACGTTGTACTGGGTGGGGGAGACGCATGTGGTTTTTGTCACTGGGGCCTTCGCTGGAGCTCCCTGCAGACCACGAAACATTGTATTGAGTGAGGGAGACGCATGTGGACTTTGCCGCTGGGGCCTTCAGTGGAACTCGACATGGGGCACGAAACGTTGTGCTGGGTGGGGGGAGACGCATGTGGATGTTGCCACCGTGGCCTTCGGTGGAGCTCCCTATGGGCCACGAATCGCTGTACTGGGTGGTGGGGGAGACGCATGTCGACTTTGCCACTCGGGCGGTCGGTAGAGTTCCCCATGGGCCACGAAATGCGGCATCGGGTTGGGGAGACGCATTTGGACGTTGACACTGGGGCCGTCGGTGGAGGTCCCTCTGTGGCCACGAAGCGTGTGAGGGGTGTTTCGACATGGTGCCGAAATGGTTGTGCGAAGGGCAGGGGCCAAGATGGGAAGAGGAGGAGGAGGAGGAGGACGCGGGGCACTGCCTCTTCAAAACGAGGACCCAACACCACAGGATGGTTGGGGAAAAAACGCGTGCCTTGAATAGCCGGATTCGACTTCCAAACAATAAGTGTTTTCGAACGTCGAAATCGGCATCAAACATGCGCAGTTCTCATCATCATCATCATCATCATCATCATCATCATCATCATCATCATCATCATCAGCATCATCATCATCATCATCATCATCATCATCATCATCATCCTTTCATCCTCCCCATCATTCGCCTCGCAGCCGCGCCTTTGCCTCGGTTGCCGCCTCCTCCTCCTCCCGCTCAAGTTGCTTCCCTCTCCTCCCACTCCAGCCCGAAGAGGGCTCTAAAAGTGCCCTGAGAAGGATCCAACAGGGCCCCAGGAGGATTCAAAAGGGCCCAAGAAGGCTCCAAGATGGAGCTCTGAAGCCACATAGTGTGACACAACCGTTGTGTCACACTGTGCGTGCTGGCTGGGCTCTCTTGGGGCCAGTTTGCAGCCCTCTTGGGGCCTCGTGGGGGTCCCGAAGGCCTTTTTTTCAAGCCCCTCCAAGACGGCGTGGGAAGGCCCCAGAACCAGAATGTCTCCAAGCGGGTCCCAGGTGGGCTCCAAGAGTTCCCAAGAGTGTTTCCAGAGGGAGCTCCAAAGCCACACAGTATGACACGACCCTTGTGCCTACCATGCGTGTTGTTTGGGCCCTCGTGGGACTATCTGGGAACCTTCTTCGGGACTGCTTGGCCACAAAGGGGTTCCTTGGTAGGCCCACCCCCGCCCCAAAAGGGCCAGAAGAGGGCTCCGAGTGGCCCACAACAGGGCTCCAGGAGAGCCCCAGGAAGAGTCCGCCCAAGAGGGCTCCAAGATGGAGCTTCGAAACCATGCAGTGTGGCGTGTTGGCTGGAATCTATTGGGGCAATTTTGGAACCCTCTTGGGGACCTCCTTGGGCCTCTCAGGGAGGGGGGGGGGGGGGGGCAAAGGGCCCTTTTCAGGCCCCATCCAAGATGGCGTGGGAAGGCTCCGGGAGGGCCCCAAGAGGGCCTCCGGAGGACTTCAAGAGGACACGAGAATGCTCCCAGAGGGAGCTCCAAAGCCACACAGTGTGACACAACTGTTATGTCACACTATGCGTTTTATTTAGACCCTCATGTGGCAATCTTCGAACCCTCTTTGGGACCTGTTGGAGCACCCATGGGAGTCTCACCTCAATATTGCTGAAAAGGGGGCGGGTTGACAGCGTGCTTCCCGCACGCACTCTGGCTACAGCGACCCACACATACAGCACATGTACGACGCTACCCAAGAGATCCACTAAGAGAGCAGCAAAGCGCGATGGCACACTGTCCTCGCTGGTGACTTCAACGTACAGGCTGGGGCCTCCAACATTCCAGGAAACGACGAAGGTGACGACCACGACAACGACCACGTCACCTGCCGATGCGTTGGCCGCCATGGACAT